GGCAGGCAGAGGGAGAAGCAGGCTCCTCGCTGAGCAAGGAGCCCAATGCGGGACTTGATACTAGGACCCTGGGATCATGACCTGAGTCAAAGGCAGACACTTAACTGAGCGACCCAGGTGTCCCACTAGCTCATGTACTTTTAAGCAAAGTTAAAAAGATTATCAACTTTTTATTTTCTCTGTCATATTGAAGAATAGAAGCAACCCTTTCATATCTTCTTCAAGTCTTCCTTTCTTTTGTCCATAATATTCCCTTATTCCATTTTGTGGTTCAAGATGCATCTCAGGGGGCGCCTGGGTGGCTCAGTTGTTTGGCTTGTGTTCCCTCTCTTGCTGTGTGTCTCTCTGTCAAATAAATAAATAAAATCTTAAAAAAAAAAAGGATGCATCTCAGGGCTTTCCCTAAGTCCCTGCTTGAATTAGAGGTATGTGCCTCATTCTTTGTCACACTGTATTGCAGCTTGCTGGTTTCTTGCCTGTTTTCTTCATTCTCTCTTGTCTGTAAGTACTTTAGAGGGCCAAAGCTATGTGTTGCTGTTTTTTTTTTTTTTAAATTTCCCTATTTCCTGGCCTGGCAGGGAGCACCTAACACCAGTTGGGTTCCGAGTAAACATTTGTTGACAGTAAATGGTATAGGTTATTAATGCGGGATTGTTGAACCGAACGGTGAAGAAAGAATTGTTGAGACGTTTTACAGTGCAAAAAGGTGTGTCTTTATTACAGCACGGGGACAGGACCTGTGGGTAGAAAGAGTTGCATTGTGATTTTGAGGAGTGACTAAATATATAGGGTTTTCTATCCTGTGGAGGTAAGGTGACATTAGGGCTCCAGGATATTGAGTCTATAGGTTCCTGGAGGTCTATTATTAAGATTGTTTTTCTTGGGATGCCTGGGTGGCTCAGTCAGTTAAGCATCTGTCTTCGGCTCAGGTCATGATCCCAGGGCCCTGGGATCAAGTCCCACATCAGGCTCCTTGCTCAGCGGGAAGCCTGCTTCTCTCTCTGCCTGCAGCTTCCCCTGCTTGTGCTTTCTCTGACAAATAAATAAATAAAATCTTAAAGAAAATTGTTTCTTTTCTTTTTTTTTTTTAAGATTTATTTATTTCTGGGGCGGTGGGGAGGGTGGGGAGGCGCGGGGCAGAAAGAGAGGAGGAGAGGGAGAGAGTCCCAAGCCGACTGTGCTGAGCAAGGAGCCCAAGGTGGGGCTTGATCTCATGACCCTGAGATCAGGACCTGAGCCCAAAGCAAGAGTCAGGCACCCAACTAACTGTACCCCTTTCCTTTCTTTTAAAAAAAAATTTATTTAATCTCTACATCCAACATGAGGCTCAAACTCCCGACCCCAAATCAAGAGTCACATGCTCCTCTGACTGAGGCAGTTAGGTGCCCCAAGATTGTGTTTTTCTTGTAAATCTTTAAGACAGCTACAAACATGGGGCACCTGGGTGGCTCAGTTTGTTGGGCATCTGCCTTCAGCTCAGTTTGTGATCCTGGAGTTCTGGGATTGAGTCTGCTCCACGGGGAGCCTGTTTCTCCTTCTGCCCCTCACCCAGCTCATGTGTTCTGTCTCTTCAAATAAATGATTTAAATCTTAAAAAAAGAAGACAGCTATAAACTATAGTAGAGTTTCATGTCCTACATAACTGGGATATTTATCAGTTGACCATTTGTTTTTCCCCTGCCTTTCTTAGGCAGTTACTAGTGCCTGAAGAATGTTATATATATACATATCCCACCTTAATGGGGGGTTTTGGGGGCTGTCAGCTTGTGTTTTGCCCTCAGCTTGCCTTTTGTTTTCTCATCAGGAATAACAGCCCAAATCACAGCCTGGCTTTCTCACTTTAGGACTACATAAACAAACACAGAAACAAAATAAGGCAGGAAAGCACACAAATCCTTTATATCCTAATTTGCATGCCGTAACACCTCTTCAAGACACTTCATATACAACTGAAAACCAGTCTCTTTCTGTAGGAAACCTGTATTCTCTTCAGTGATCTCATACAAAGCTAACTGATGCAGGAAAACCAGGTACGGTTTCATTATGAGGCCTCCACACCCATAAGAGGCTGGTTTTAAGTGGCAGGTGGTATGTTGCAATTTAATGTTAAGTGGACTTTGCCTGCTTTCCTGGGATCCATACTTATTTCCAAACAGAAAAGTTACCTTCATTCAGTGCTGGACGAAGTTTTGTTGAACCACCGGGCACTTGGATGGCCAGAAAGCCCTAATTTTGATGCAGCTTGGGTATTTTTACAGGACTTTTCTTGAGCCTTCAATTTTTCTTACTGCAGCAAACAGGAAGAACTTATGCCCAATGAATAATAGACTATCGCTAATGTACGGAGAATTTTGGTGAAATTAACGTAATTTCTACTTTACTGGAGAGCTTTTCATATTTTCTTCATCTTTGAAAGTTAAATCAGAAATTTTATATTTTGTGTTCAGCTTTTTATATTCTTAATTCTTGTGCGGGTGGGGGCGGCAGTGATCAAGAAGACTCTTAGGGGGCGCCTCGGTGGCTCAGTCTTTCGCCGTTCCGCCTTAGGCTGAGATCATTGCCCCAGGGTCCTGGGATTTAGCCCCGCATCGGGCTCCCTGGTCGGCGGGAAGCCTGCTTCTCCCACTCCCCCTGCTTGTGTTCCCTCTCTCGCTGTCTCTCTCTGTCAAATAAATAAATAAAATCTAAAAAAAAGAAAAAAAGGAGACTCTTAGGAGAAAGAATTCATTCTTTGTGACTCTGCCTTAGATCTAGGCTAAGGTTACAGAAAACGACCCTTTCTTGTATACAGACGCAGGGGTCTAGCGTTTGTTCTTTCTTAAACTCACCATGTGCCAGAAGCCGCACAGATCTATTTTACCATAGTTAGTCTTATTTTTACAGCCACGAAAAGTGCGACTCAAGTTCGGTGTCCTGCCTCTGGTACCTCTGGGATTCCAGCTCAGGTCACCGCGCCCTCGCCTTCCCGGGTCCCCGTCTATCTCCCGCTTTTGCCGGTCGTTCCTTTCTCCATCCAGGCCATCTGGGGCGATCGTGGAGATGCTAGGGTGCTCGAGCCCGGTAGGGCGTGAGAATTCCACAGCAAACTCCGGCGCGCTAGCCTGTCCCCAAGCCCCTTCTGGTTATTCCCATCCCCCTCCTAGACTCCGGGCCAGACCTGGGAACCATAGAGCTCACACAGCCCAGAGCGTCCCTTCCCCGGCCGCCCAGCGCTGACGCCGCGCCGCTGGGCGGGGTCTCCTGGAGGGGCGGAGGGAGAGGAGGGGGAAGCGGGCAGGAAAAGGGCTGCCCGGCCCTGCAGCGCCCCGCAGCGGCCACGGCCGGAAGCGGTCTCGTCGGCCCTGCGGCGCTGAATCCCTGACGCACCGAGCTCGAGAGCGAGAACGAGAGAGAAAGGGGCAGAAATGGCGGCTCCGCTCGGCTCCCGCTGAGGAGGGCGAAGCCGGTGGAGGGTCTGAGCTGTCGGATTGGAGCATCGCTCCCGCTTCCCGCTTTCTGCCTTCTCACGCCTACTTCTTTTCTTGTGCCCTACTCTCGCCTGTCCTCGTCTGCGCTCCGCAGAGTCCGGGTCGGCTCGTCTCTCCCGGCCCGGCTCCACTGGCCCTGACTGCCCGACCGGCGGGCCGGCCTTCCTTGGCTCTCCCGGGCGCGGCGGGCGCGGTGTGGACCTCGTCCTCCTGGCTGGACCATGGTGAACACCCGGAAGAGCTCTCTGCGTCTTCTCGGGTCCAAGTCGCCTGGGCCCGGGCCTGGGCCTGGGGCCGGAGCGGAGCCTGGGGCGACCGGAGGCAGCAGCCATTTCATCTCCTCTCGGACCCGCTCCTCCAAGACCCGCGCTGCCAGCTGCCCCGGCGCCAAGGCCGGGGGAAGCGGTGGCGCCGGCGTCGCTCTGGAAGAGGCCCGGGTAAGAGCGCCGCGGCCCGAGTCCGGAGGCTTGCGAGTGCCGGCCCGGCCGCCGGGGCTTTGTCTGGCCGGGTTAGGGCAGGAAGCCTCCAGTGGAGACCGCTCGGGAGGCTGGAGACCGGGTCCGCCGGTGCGGTGAAGGATGGCACCCGGCTAGGCAGGGCTGCGACAGCTTTGCTGGTCCGGCTCTTTTGTGTAAAGAACAGGACTGGAGTCTGGGGGAGAGGGCTCTGGGGGGTCTTTTCGGGGACATGCTTTCCGTGTCCTTGCCCTGCCTTAGAGGGGAATTCTAGGGGAGCAAGAGCGGAGGGCCGGAGTCCCCGGGTGGAAGGGCTGGAGAAGAGAAATGAAAGTTTTCTGCGGTGTCAAACCCTTCTTGTAAGTGTGTCAGCTCCTGCCGGTGTCTTAACTCCAGCTTACTCTCAAACTGTTTGGGGGTGGTTCAAGTTGGTGAGGAAGTGAACGGAGAGCTCCAGTTGGCAGCCAGGCAGGGATGCTGAAAAAAGTTTGTAGCTGCTCTGACACCAACTTTAAAAACAAAATCAACGCTATCGCTTCTCCAGGCAGGAGAGATCAAGCATGATTTTGTAGCTGGGGAATCAACCAGCTAGCTAACCAAGGTTCTAGTAGGGACCTAGTAGAGCTTTCTAGTAGAGCTTTCAAGTCACAAAAGGGGCATGTCGAATGTTTTGGATTGTACACACTATCTTCAAATTGTATGGTTTCTTGGATGTCTGCATTTTTGTTATGGGAATAGTTTATAAAAGGGGAATTAACACCATCGTCACACTATTGCAAACGTGACATTTGAAGAAGGCTGGTGATATAGTTTTTTTAGAAAGTTGTTGAAAACTTGAAATTTATTATAAAACTCTAAGCTAACACTTGTTTTGTCACTTTAAGGGAATTGATAAAAGTTTGTGTTACGAGATTGGTTATGAATTTAGAAAAGAGTATTGCTTCTGTCTAGCAAGAGGCTAATTTACTAAGAGTAATTTGGCTGGAAATTGTTACTCATTTAAAATGCTCCTTTGATTTCACGGAAGCAATATTTTATTTTCTCTGGGGTCTACAAGATTACGGTTTGTGTGTGCTTTTTCTCTGTATCTCCTATTGTTTAGACACTAATCAGAATGAACTGATGCAAATACATCATATATTTTACTGTACTATTCTGAAATATATTTATTGTATCTTTGAAAATATATTTGGCTTTTATTTTGCTAAAAGTCTGGAAAATATTTTAAAAAATTGTCTTGTTAGTCTATAGACTGTTTTGGGGCTAACAGATTTTAGGATGAAATAAGAAAGCTAAATCTGAAAGTTGTGCAAACTATTTAGAATAATTACTCTGAAAACTTGGCTTTTTGTAGAAATTATTCCCAATGTGTACAGGCTTATTGACTTTCTGAAGCTAACATATATTTTAAAATAGAAATAAAGTTAAGAAAGGTCTGTCTTCTACACCTAAGTACAAATAAAATGTTTAGAGTGTAAGCATTTAATTGTAGTATAATGGTATGAATGGCTAGTCTATTAGAGCAGTGTCTAATTCATCTGAAGCAATTAGCTCATCTGTCACTGATCAGTTTGTGCTCCCATTTTTGAATTCATGGATATCATGCTGTCCTTACCCCCTAAGGAATAAGGTGAAGTAATTTGTCAAGAAGCTGTTATGGAGATGTTAAAAGGCAAGGAATCAATAATCTAATGTAGAAATGAACGTTTGGTAGCTTTTAAATTGCTGGAGGAATGAAAGATATTAGAGCTTTTTCTAGAAGGATGCTAATGAAACTTTGTTTCAAGGATCCCTTTAAAATGTTTTAAAAGGCCATAAATAACAGGCTAATGAAGATTTACTTTAAAATATTTGTTTCTCAGTTTTAAGACTTATCTTCCGTCTGTAGTAGATGATAGAATGATCTAATGGCTTTCTCTGAGAAATTGAAGAAATTTACTAATCCTATGACTGGTCCTTTAAAAGAGGATAAGTTATAATCCTGAATTTGTTTATGGACTATATATATATTTATGAAGCAATTTCTGTATATTTCTTTGTATATATTTCTAAAGTGGGTTGATTTGAGTCTGGTAAGGTCTTCCTCTCAAGTTCGTTTTATCAATTACAAGAATTTAGTATTCTTTCCCATGTATTTAAATAGGCACCCTCTGTGTCTTTGGAGTTTTAGGCATTTGCTACTGTCTGTAATGACTTATTTGTTGGAAAATGGGGTTGTTCATACTGTTGCTTTAGGAGACTCTTATTTTTGTAGGAAGAAATGTATTCCTCTTTATAAGATACATCATTGAGGAGGTCCTCCTTTTTTTTCTTTTGTTATGTTCTTCACTTTACACTTGATGCTGATTTCTCTCCCTACTTCCCTCAACCTCCCGGGATGCTTTTTAGATTTCATGCACTGTGTTTAGAGTTACTTCAGTTGCTTTAAAAAGCCATAGGACCATGAGCTGTGCCTATAATTTTGCCTTTTCCCCAAGTATGTGTAGAATTGGGAAATAAACATATGATACATTCTGTAGGTTATTGCAATGATTTTCTTGTACCCACACTTTTTATTTTATTATTTTTTAAAGATTTTATTTATTTATTTGAGAGAGAGAGACCACAAGCACGGGGACGGGCAGAGGGAGAGGGAGAAGCAGGCTTCCCGGTGAGCAGGGACCCCGATGCGGGGCTTAATCCCAGGATCCTGGGATTATGACCTGAGCCAAAGGCAGATGCTTAACTGACTGAGCCACCCAGGCGCCCCGTGCCCACACTTTTTAAATGTCAACCTGACTTAGGTAGTTAGTTGTAATTACTCTGATAACTGGCTTTTTTTGTTTGTTTAGTAGGTATAAAGTTTGACCTCTTTTAGGTCAGTTAATATGATCATCAGTAACTAGCATTTATTTGCTACACCAAAGAGTCACTCTCAGCAAACTAATATATTCACAGAATTGGAAAGCAGTTTTTGAAAAATATTTCAGCTCTTTTTTTTACTTCTGTTAGGCCTGTTTGATTTTGGCTTCATCACTAGCTTTTTGTGCTTTTGGGGAAGGTTACATAGTACATTTTGAGTCCACATCTAAGTCGAGAGGGTCAAAATATTTTGAATAACTTTAAAGGTAAACTTGCTTTATCTTAATTTCATTAAAAAAATCTCTGGGTCCTTTAATATGCTCTATTTATTTTTAGAGATTTTATTTATTTGAGAGAGAGCGAGTGAGAGAGAGAGAGAGAGAGAGAAGGAGCAGGGGGAGGGAGAGGGAGAAGCAGACTCCCCGCTGAGCAAGGAGCCAGATGTGGGACTCAATCCCAGGACTCTGGGATCATGACTTGAGCCGAAGGTGGACCCTTAACCAACTGAGCCACCCAGGTGCCCCTTAATATGCTCTTTTATCACCTTGTACTTACTCTTTTCCAACACCCATGCATTTACCAACATAATACAAGCAGAGTGGCAGAAGTTGATGGTTAAACATGGAAAAGAAGTCTGAGAGCAAAATGTAATAATGTATATAACTCTCAGATGAGTAGGGAAAAACAGAAGTCCTTCAGAGTAGAGCAAGTTTTTCCTTATATGTATCAAGGTCTTGAGTAATGTGTTAAATAATGTCCCCTGTCACAGTTTTGAACCAAAGCA